AAATTCTCCACCAGTTGATGACATTAGTCTTATTTACTGCATTTATATTGTCTGAAGAGCTAAGGTTGGTGTGCATTGTTCTCAACCTACAATTTATGCTCACAACATTTTGAGAAAAAGGGTCTCTGTCAGGGCTGTGTCAGGAAGATCCTAGCCTAGCTTGTGGGGCTACTTATCTAGACAGGCAAGCAGGAATACAGAGAATGTAAACATGTAAAGTCTCCGACAGATAGGACAAGGGCAAGAAAGAATGGGAAGCCTGATCTTCATAGGATGGTACTGTAAAAGGACACATAGGATTTGAAATATGACTGGATATTGATTCTATGCTATCTCTCCCACCCATTCATGAACTGCTAAGCTTCAGATATGGCTTCCATATAATACATATAATAAAAAAAATATTTCCTAGCTGAGTTGTCCTTATCTCTGGAGGGAGACTGATGGTCAGGCAGGGAGCAGTAGGGCAGTTGAATGGGGATTTGAAGTTTTGGGTCAAGGGCTTATGGATCCTAGCCATCTAACCTTGATTTCCTCATCTGTAAAACAGGAATAAGATCCACCATATAAGGTGGTTGTGAAGGTAGAGAGCAAAATTTTTTAAATGTATGTTGTTAAGCTGTATTAACAGCATCCAAATGAAGTCTACCATGATCTCCTTTTCTCTTTGCAACATGCTATTTTAAGTATTGACATTTTAAAAAACCACAAACCACTTAGTGTGCTCCAAATGCCATTGATTGTATGCATTCTTTAAAAACAAGAATAGTTAAAAATAAGAATGCTAGTGAAGAAATAACTTGAACACCGTTGGATAAAATGGCAGCGTTGTGTTCGTTGCCTTTATCAACTTCCTTTTCTGAAAATACAGCAGATGCTGCAAATTACGCATTGTTCACAAGAAAGTATATTCATTATTTCAAAAAACTTCCAGGACAAAATTTCCTACAACATTCTCCATAATGTTTGAGAACATATTACATTATACTAGTCTTTGGAAAAAAGAAATCAGCCACTCCATGGAATAGATGAAAGACAAGAACAGAAGCTTACCTTGAAGTCTAAGGACCTTATAAGTCATAGCAAAAGCACCATGAAGAGTGGAATGGAATTCCACTTTCACCACCGGACCTGGGCTCAGGAAGGTAAGATCAGGCTGATGGACATAGTTTACCTAAGGGAGAAAATACCACCACCCAAATAAGGTCATCAAATTAGATTGAAGCTGTTCAGTCCTCTAAGGTAGAATTTAATAATGTTATTGCCTTTCTAGTTCTTGCCAACACATATGCAAAAGGGGTACAACAAGGTGAAATGAAGGTATTGGAGTTGCTTCCATGATGGGAAAGATTGTGATTAGATTTTTTAATGGTGGGGGGAGAGAGAGAGAGAGAGGGGGAAAATGGTAGTTTTATAATTTTATCAATGAAAACTATCCCAATGTAGGGAATGTTTAGAAAGTTGGATCACAGTGTTCACTGTGAAAAGATACAGTTGTGATTATCAACCTAGACTGCTCTATAAGGAGATTAGATAAATCCACAAAAAGCCATCTGGTCACAATGGTGTTATAACAGGTAGTCCTCAACTTACAATCATTCGTTCAGTGACCGTTCCAATAGTGCTGAACGAATAGTGGTTACAACTGGTCCTTGGAGTTATGGCTGTCCCAGCAGACTCATGATCACATAGTCATTGTGATCTGTGTGCTTGGCAACCCATTTGCACTTATGACCAGTTGCCAAGTATCCCACAATCATGGGAGCAACCTTTGCAACCTTCCCTGCCAGTTTCCACAGAAAGTCAATGGGGAAGCTGGCAGGGAAATTCACAAGTTACTGGGGCAAGTTTCCCCCTCCTGCATACCCTCCCCAGTCCTTGTGTGCTTGCACCGTGCTGGCTACTCACACACCCCTGTGCACCCTCCCCAATCTGCACAGTGCCTCTTGCGCACTGCTGCGCACACTTGCACACCTTCCCCAATTCTCCCACACACACTCTCACTCTCTCCCCTACCTGGCAGCAGCCACTTACCTGCCTGCCGGCCTGAGACTTGCAACTTACTGTCAGCTTCCCCACTGTCTTTGGTTGTGGGAATCTAGCAGGAAGTTGCCTCACCTAACGACCATGGGATTCAGTTAACAACGGCAACTGGGACTGCAGAGATTGCTGTCACTAAGTGATGCAGTTGTGCTTTACGACCACATTGCTTAGCAACGGAAATTCCAGTCCCAATTGTCATCATAAGTCAAGGACTACCTGTATTACCTCCAGCATGAGAAGAAGCATTCCTCTGAAGGTCAGTTGCTGGGGATCTGAAGCAGGAAAAGAATTGCGCTTGCATCCTATGTATGGGCTTAAGGTTGAACTAGATAGGCTTTTGATCGGAGCTTAAAATGGTTAAATAAATTATAGGCATTGAAAGCCAATACATGTAGAATATACCCTGGTGGGAATGCCTAGCATAGACAATAGTAAGGTAGATAGAGAAGTCATCTGACTCAATAATCATGCTCACACAAGGCACTAAACATGGCTTTGCATTAACCATGACTAAAACATTCATCTAGCTAATATGCTCAACTCAACATGGCAAGCACTGCTGGTCAGGGATTATCAATCTGAATCCTTTTGGAAGAGGATCCATGCAACTTTTGTGCCAATAAAGTTGACTGTGCTTAAAGTAAGCAAATGTACAACCAGTCATGGTTTTAATGGTGGTTAACACTGAGGGTTTTAACCATAATCAAATGCATGGTCTGGGTTTAGAGAATGCTATAAACCAGATGTCATACAGCTTAGTCCTCACTTGATAGCAACCTGCCCTCATCCTGCTGCTAGTTATGTATGGAGAGGAAAAGTACCCCCATTCCTTACACACAGTTTCCTACAGTGTCTCCTGGGAGAGCCTTGGTAGTGAAGATAGAAAAATATTTTTACCAGG